ATCACCCCCCCCCCCGGGGGGGGATGGCCATGCCACAATCCCTTCTCCTCCATTCTCCTCTCGGGATGTTGGGCACACACGCACACGCGCCTGGCATGAGTTTTAAGCCACCGGGTCCGGGACGCAAACCGCAGTCAACTACGTGGGAGTCCAGCGACACAGCCATTACGCTAACTGCTGGTTCCCAACACTACATATTCTTAGACAAAGGTGTCCTGGTAATGATTTAGCATCCCCAAATAATCGACGTGAGCGTTGACAGGCTGGTTCCCACACGGCACGAGTTGTGCCTAAGCCGGCATATTCCACGAACCCTGTGATCCTGCCAGCAAGAGCTCAGACCTGTCCCTCGGACCAAGCCTGGAGCGGGTTCTATTTATAGCAAAAATGCATATACACGAGCCGCACGCCACTCTTCCGCAAGTTGGTCCCTGTTGCAAAGCTGTTTACCACACACTGTCACACAAGCTGATAAATGCCCGGTCCAAGAGAAAGGGAAAACTCCACCTTCCAGACAGCAGTTCACACAGAAGAACATTTCCTGACACTGAAGATAACAGAGCAACATATTTCAAAATCACGGGACAGATCAGTCTGTAAGCTGCCCTTAAGTTCTTTCTGTGATTTAAAGACGGGTAGTCAAGTCTGACCCCCAGGGAAACGGAGCTGAACACATAGCTAGATTACCGACTGATGACATTCAGAAAATCCAAGGGACTGGGCCCAGCAGGTGGCATGGTGGTGAAGGTGCAGGACTCCCACATGGCCAACTGCGGTTCAAGCTCCAAACCTGGCAGTTGAAATCCACACTAGGCGCATGTGCGGACATGCCCCAAATCCCAGAATGGAGAAGGGACTGCGGCACAGCCACCCCTCCTTGGGGTGATTTCTCCTTTTCTTTCTCTCTGTCTCTCTTTCCCACGACTACATGCACCCTATGGCAAAACCTAAACAAACAAACACACACAAACAAGAAAGCAGCCGACTGGGTGGAGACCCATGGGAAGCTGGCTTTACAGGGGAGGGGAAAGTTCTCACACCGTGTGCCCTTCCTATCCTTGGTGCTTCAAGGATGAAGCTTTAACCTGCTAGTTATGCCCTGGGTCTCAGAAACTGTCCCTAAGAAAGCACCCTTCGCGAAGCTTCTAAAGGGACAAGTTAGCAGGCTCCAAGCAAGGCTCCATGCTGCAAGTGACACGCAGGAGCCCTCAGGTCACGGGTGCCAATGCCGGGGACCCAGAGGATACCCGGTCTTGGAGCAGCTAGCACTGCAGAGAGCTGGTGGTCTCCAACACCTCCAGGAAGAGCGCCATTTCCTGACGATCCCCAAAAGAGGGCGGCCAGGACACCACGTGGCCCCTCGGGGCCCTCTGCTGCACGCTCTGCACCCAGACCCAGTCACCGCTGCTCATCACGCCAGTCATGAGCACAAGGCCTCCACGCTGGCTCTTCACGCCCTGCACTGCCATCGTCAACCACGTGTTCCTGAAGTTAGGGAACGCCAGAGAGAACGAAGACTCAACATTTCCACTTTTAAAAGAAACGGGAACCCTGAAGATCTTGGTAAACTGCAGGAGAATCCAACTGAAAAGTGGCTTCGAGGTTAGACCCAACCTAACTTCAACGGTGCAGAGACTCTAGCTGTTTGGTGTCTAGGATCAATCTGGTAAAACTGCTCATAGATCTCAGCAGCAGCGAAAACCAAACCATTTCCCAGAACTCAGTGAGGGGGCAAATGCCCGCCACCTCATCAGTACGCCCCGCCCGTGACTTCTCCTAGTTGATTAGAATGTATTTCAACTGAGACTTGTTTCTACAGATCAGTGGTGTATTTGTACCACGTAAACCAGCGGCAAAGACCAGCCTTTGCACACCCCACACGGCCCTTTCCCCAGCCTCTTCCAGACACCAGCATTCCCCCCCCCATATAAGAACACGGACGGCAATTACTGCTGATCGAACGTTCTCCTTCCTCTGTGCTTTCTGTGAAAGGGCCTTGCAGTCTCCACCATGAAGTGAAAGAAGGAACCGTGCACAGGAATACAGAGGATTATGCACAGTAAACCACGAAACATTGTTACACGTTACCTTCCAAAGTAGTGCAGTTCGCAAAGCCAGCCCCCAAAGCCTTTCATTAAGAGCTCACAGGAAAAATGCACACTTTAGCAATCGATTTTACTAAAATCTAAGAAAATCCGACAGTCTGTACAAAAATACTCTGAAATTGAGCACATTTGGGACAGGATAGCTGAAAGGCCTATTGTGCACAGAATTATTTAAGATTTTGTTTTCCATTACACAAACACCAATCAATACTTTAAGAGGATCAAAATTACAAGAGGGCAGCTCTTCCCCAACGCGTTTCTATACAGCGCACTAGAACCAGTTTACACCCTGATCTGTTACTGCCGAGAGGGGCGGCACCCTGACCTAGTTTATCACGACCCACAGCGCCTCTAAAAGCAGTTGGACAGTTCAGCCGCTAAGAAGGGTGATCTGTCAGAGATGTTGACAAAGAGCAATTCTTGACAAGAACAGTGTCACATCTCCATAGGATTCATCCTGCATTCCTTGTCTAAAAATATTTTTTCAAGCACACTAATGACACACATCACTGCAAGTTCTAAGTTTTAAAGATAAAAGACTTTCTTATATATCCCTTACATGGAACAAAAAGAGAGGTAAACATGCAAAATTCCACTGTAATTCCCAAAAATAATGCCATTGTGTTATTCAGCTATTAAAAGTTTCTTTTTTAAAAATAAATAAATAAATTGTACCTGAAGGAATTGTAAATGATCTTGCAGCAAAGAGGGTGGGGACGTCCTGCTAAGCCAAGTACCTTGTCCAGCCAAAGCTACTAGTGAAAGGAAATATAAACAGAGCAAGGCATACCTCGAACATCCAAGTGCCAGGCGCCCACTCCCTCAGCCCCTGGAGAGAAGAGCGTGGCCCCCGTGGCATCCGGCCCAGCCCGGATTACCTGGGGGAGGTGTGACACCCCCATGAGGGCGGCACTGACCGTGCCAGCGGCCTGTAAACGCCGTCCAAGAGCCTAAGACCAAGACACGGACAGCAGCATGGACCAGCCGTCCGGGCACACGAGACCCATGTTCACAGCGAGGGTCAGGCCCGTCGCAGGTGCATGCGAGGTGAGGGGCCGCACTCCACTCATGCTGTCCCCGGCCCCCTCTTGATCGGGAACACAGCGTGGCTCCAGAACTCGAGAATCCATCCTGGCCCGTCCGAAGCCCGTGCCGGGTGCTGCCAAGGGGCACTGGAGCCTGGAAAGGGCCACGTGCAGAACAGCGGCGGCGAGCGACGCGGGCCGAGCCCTGCTCACCTCCAGTGGCCCGGGCACAGCAAAGACAGGAGTGCCTACAAGAGGACGCTCGTGTGCTGCCTGGACTCACACACCGGCTCAGGAGAATTACTCGTGCTGACCTCCGTGGACACGAGCCACGCGGGCGCCCTCCTGGTGGGAGGCAGGTCACTGCCAAGCTCCCACGCGTCATGTGCTCGACTGCGCATCAGCACAGGCCTGTCTCAGCAAGGCCGCGCACACCGCCCTCCGTGTGCACAGATCTGAGGGCGCGGTCACACTGCGACGCCCCTCCAGGCCTCGCACCTCCAGGACCCTGGGCACACAGGCAGTTCT